GTACAGATTACTCTTATTATCAAGTATTCCATGCAAATGTTTTAAGACTAAAATAATTAAACCATACCCAAAATTAAACCTTCTCCTTTGGATCCCATGTCTTCGACATTCAAATAATTGGTTATTTTCATATGAGCAATGTTCTTATGAATACAACATATAAATTCATATAAAGTATATATTTTAATTATCTGGCAGTATATTCGAAAGGAGTCAGAGTTAATTCGCATTCCCGTTTTTTCATAAAAATAAATGTTCATCGCTAAGATTATTTTCTAAAACGATAACACGACGAAATCATTTAAACTTATATTTTTAATTAAAATTATAAAACTGCATTATACGTACATACCTGATATTGATGTGCAATTCCTAAAAGGTAATAGATGTAGCTAAGGAAAAAGCAGATAATACTAATACAGTATTCAGAATTTACGAGTACATTTTTCCTTAAGCTTTTTATGAAATGTTTGCTTTTAAAATACGTTTGCTTTGGCTTAACACAAATTGATTGTTTATTGAGGAACTACGGAAAGGGAATAAATAGAGCCGGGTCGATTTTGGAATGCCATTTTTGCATTAGTCGCAGGATATAAATGGACAGTAACTTTAGGATAAGTGGGTGTATTGATTCCACACGCATGCACGTCAATTGAATTAAATGCCAGGGGAAGGCAATACACACACACGTACTACAAACATGCACAAGCATGCTCAGCTCATCAGCAGTGTTACCACATCAAAATGCAAATGTCAAGCCAACCATCATTTTATGGTCTTGGGAGCACCTGAAGTCGACAGGGTTGACAGCGCAGTCAACAACGAACCCATAACTACACCTAAACACACAGCTGTAGGTACAGGACCTACATATATTTATAGGGAGAGAGATTTGTTCACCCACGATTAGTTGACACACCCACAAAGACACACACACACACACACACACGATTTCCGCGCCATTTGCTGTCACTTCGCCAGTTTGCACATCGTCGACGACAGCGACAGCATCGCTGCCAAGTTCGCTCATGCAGCACAGTTTTTTTTTTTGTATTTTGCTGGTCCCTCCCCCTCTCTGTTTTTCACCGGGCAGGACGCGCGACAAGTCCTTCCTCTTACTAATGGTAACTGGAAATGGCAGCGGCGACGAAGACGGCAACGTTGATTGCCGTTTGAATTGCTGCTGCCACTGTTGTTGTTGATATTGGTGTGGTTGTAGCCGTAGTTGTTGCCAGCATTGCTGTCGCCGTGGCCAAAGGTTCAGCGTCATTGCCGCCAATGTTGCCAATTTTCTTGCTTTTGCGTTTCGCTTTCCCATAAGACAACAATTTGTGTTCTTTTTTCTTCCAGCGCTGCAATTTTACGTGCTGTTGACTGTGACGATGAAATTGGGCAAATGGCCTATATATGTACGTACTTACAAATGTCACTACAAAGACCCCAGAAACATAATTGATATATCAATATATTCAGAAAAATACTTGCATTAAATTAAACGCAATAAATAAATAAATAGTAAAAACTTTACTTGTATATAGATCTATTAAAAATCCTATATTCTTAATAAAGGTACAATTTATTTCAAATATTTTTTATGATTATTTGTTAGCTATAACTACATAGACATAGATGTTGAGGAAGAACTTATCGAAATAAAATCGTTGAATGCTTAGACAGAATTAGTCTCCTCTTGTGAAGTATAAGAATGGCCTTGAATCAAAAACAAACGAAACTTATGTTGTTTATATAATATACGACATTAGATTTTAAATAAAATCGAACAGAAAAATATTTTATATAAAAACACATTTGTGAAAAATGCATAAAATGTTCGGTAATTGGAATATTGTTTTATATTGTACTTCAAATTTCTTTGAAACTGCACACTTTTTCAAGTGTAGTTTTGTCGGGCCTCGGGCGAATGCATATGTCAATATGGGTAGAGCTATCCTGCAGGAACTCAAAGGCTGGCTCAACCTTTCATCGTCCGATGGTTTGTCATGCTAACGTTCATACATTGCCCGGCCCTCTCACCAAGCGCCTGTTTGTTGTTTTTAAATGCCTTCTCTTCTTAGACTGCCGCTGCAGTGGCAATAGCCAACCCAAATACGTTGACTGCGCTGGCCAGATCCCAATTTGGCCAGCTCTAATTGCACTTACTTAGTAGCCTGAGCCGAGGCAATTTCGCTGATTGTGCAATGCAATTTGGGCGGTGCCTTTGTCTGCTGTCGTCGCGTGCAATTGAATGGCGGCGAAAATTAACTACTCGGAAAGCTGGTGCTTAAGAGCTTAAGCAGTACCTACTCGTACCTATATCTAGTACAAGCAAGTATATAAACAAATGTTTATAAGTAGTTTTCAAAACTCACAAATACGAGTACAATATGTAAACTTTTGCGTGCAAGTTTCTAGTGCTTTTTTTATTGGTTTGCCAAAAATAAACAAGAATTCGAAAATACACAAAGAGCGACGACAAAGCAAAGCAATAATAATATGGAAATGTAAAACTTTTCCAGCAAACAAATACCAAAAATGTAAATGGGGCGTATGAGTTATATTTGTGCTACCATTGAGTTGCAGCTGTAAATCTGTAAAAGAGAGCGAAAGAGAGAGAGGAGAAAAATCACCGTTACTCAACTTTGGAACTTTCACTTTTGTGCAGCTAAAAACAAAAACTGGTGCAATGCTAAAGAAAATCCAATTGTTGAATCGAGTGAACCAGCAGGCTGGCAAAGGGGCAGGGAAAGAGGGCAGGGAAATTTAAGAGAAGTTGGAATAGACTGCAGCACAATTGTGCACAAATAATTGAAGTTGCCTTTGTTGTGCATTCCGTTTTGTGGTTTATAGCATGTAGTTGGTCTTACCGTTCTGTTTTCTGCACTACACCTATTCACACATCACACACACACACACATACACACACACTCACACATACTATATACACACAACTAGAACATGTCTGGCGGCGAAGTCCTTATGTTGATTGATTTTGATTGCACTTTGCTTTATGTGCCGCAAGCTTATTTTATTTCCGAAACAATTACCTTATCGCCTTGTTATGCCTCTTAAACGTAAATCCCTTCACCCATAATGGGGCGACTCGAACCACGCCCTTTCAAGTTCAGTGATAACCCATTAAGCGCCCACAGGCACCCCAAACACCCGCACTAAGTGCAAAACTTTAGCTATTATTAAAAGCCTCATTGTCAGTTTTGTTGGGCCCTGGTGTGCCGTGGCCGAGCTCTGAATATGGCCCTATAGCCATACAGAAACATACTTGTACACATATTTATACAATACACGTTAATGCTATGCATGTACTTGTAATGCAAATGGGCACAATGAAGCCGGCAGCTTCCTCGCTCCACCTCCCACGGCACAGACCACACATTTACACAATACAGAAGAATGAATATATTTCGCACAAGTTCGTTCATATTTTTAATGTCATGAGAATAATAATTACGTTCATTGACTTTGTTAAGTAGCCTACTTAATGCTAATGTGATTTGTTGTCTGCCCCAATGAGTGCGGAGCGGTACCTCCAGGTTCCTCAGAAATATTCATTACTCTGCTTTTGGTGAAAGGAACAATGAAAGTTTGACGTTTGAGAAGAAAAGAAATACCTTTAAAAGGAATTTTTAATAAGTCAAAGAAAAATTTGTTGTAAGGCAGCCATGATTTCAAATAATAAGGAAAACAGAGTAGACACTGACATCATCTGCAATACAGTTGTATTTTCTTAGGAATGAGCTCTGCTTATATTAAATTAAAAATATATTAAAAAGTATGAAGCAGTAATTAGGAAGCGAAAAGGACTAATTTTTTCATCAACCGACACTTAGGAGTTTTACGCAGACGCTTCTAATATTAATAATAATACAAAAGACTATGTTAATGGATATTTGTTTTGATGTAGTTGATAGTAATTTTATGTTTAAATTTAAAAATATATATGTTATATATATTAGAATTGAATATAGTTCCAAACCTAGGATTACTTTTATTAACTGGCCATTAAGTTAAGATCTGCCTAAGCAATAAGTCAAGGTTGGGAAGTATTTGTTATTATTAAAAACTTGCTGCAAAGCAACTAACTACTGGAAGATAACGAAGCTTGTCAACTTGTATATCGAATTCAATTGACTACTAAATTTAGTCTAAGATCATTTGGACAATAACTTATATTTGTTGTTCATACAAAAAGTGCAACTCATAGCCCAGATGTTGACTTACTGTTTACCGATTTGTCTTATCAGCACATTTAATTGATTGCCTTCCTTAACCAAATAAACGGCATTTACTCGTATATATTCTATATGACCCTTAATCAGATAGTTAAACTATCTTTAAAGTGTATAGCTTATGATGTGTAGCGCACATTATGAGTGGATCATAAATAGCAAACGACAATTAAATTAAAATCGATTACGCAAGCGAGCCAAAACGTAATAATTTTGCATGCGTCAACAAGTTGCACATATACTTGTATTGTACAAAAGAGTAGTTGCCATTATTTTCACAAAAACATATATGCCATTATATAGTAGTACATGCATTCACTGCCACACTACATTGATTTCTGCACCACTAATATGAGAGCAGTGACAATTGTCAACCTATGTGAACTAAATATAGTACATTGTATATAGAATAGTGACGTGAATGGCATGCTGAATTACTTAATGGCCAGTCATCGATTTCCACAATGTCAATATCAAAGACAGGCAGCAGTCATGCGGTCATTGCTGCACCTACCACACACACACACACACGCACATACATATATATATACATATATGCATGGATATATACATATGTGCTTAGAATAAACTCGTATTTCTATGAGAGCCCCATGAAATGGGAAGCCCTAGCAAGTGTTTACATCGCAGGCGACTACACAACTTAGGTTAACTAATTGAATTTAGTCGTTGGCGACAATGCCAGGTATAAATGTCGGATTGCCGAGGAACGCTAATTGAAAACGAAGCAAACAACGCAACGCGGCGTAGTTTGGAACGCGAGCGCGAAACGTTAGTTGATCATCTTTCGAATAACATATCCGGAATAGTTAAGAGCCACAACAATCTCAAGATGGTGGTCAATTTTAAGGTGTTTAAAAAATGTTCTCCGAACAATATGATCACCCTGTATATGAACAGGCGTGAGTTTGTGGATTCGGTGACACAAGTGGAACCTATCGGTAGGTAATAGAGGGAAGGCCCGAAACACCTTTGGAATTTCATATTACGCACTGTAGGAGTCTAAGATGGATCATATAAATTTATTGTGATTGTGCAATATTGACATTAGTTAATACAATGAAATTTCAAGAGCTGTAATTGCAGGTCAATTGCATTGTCAATTTTAAAAACTTTGAAAGCCTAAACCAACTTTATAAAGAATTGCCCGATATACACACTTCCTTAAATATTTTGAACACATTATACATTAGATCGAAGTAGTGAAAATAAAGCACAAAATATTCGCATCATCACAGATGATCTGAGTCCAATTCAGTCTGCAGATCTCCATTTAGGCCTCTTTATAGTAATAAGTTCTTTAGATCAAGAAATCAATGAGCAATGAGCCTATTAGGCTCGGCCGCATGCAAAATTTAATAAGTTAGTCTGCTGAGTGGAATTTATTGCGGTTTATTATTGAAATTTGCTTTGTGGTTTAAGATTAAGCAACAAATTGTTTGTCTCTGAGCAAAGACAATTTATTCCTACTCGTGTGTACGAATTTCTGTCTCATGCGTAGTCGGAACTGTAACTATAGTATAGTCTAGTCTAATTAAATTAGGCTGTAATTTATGCAATACGCACAAAGGACACCGCAACCCAACTGCAGCAACAAAGCTGCTTATTAGTTACGTGACCGTTAGGTGCTAGGATTTTGCACAAACACCCAAAGACACACACAGACGCGTTGTAATGACAATACAATGGCGTTTATATCGGTGCCTACTTACGCATAAGACGGCAAGGCGACCACCAATTAATTTCACACTTAACCTTCTACGCCTTCTTGTTCAGATGGCATTGTTGTGCTGGACGATGAGTATGTGCGTCAGAATCGCAAAATTTTCGTGCAGCTCATTTGCAACTTCCGCTATGGGCGCGAGGACGACGAGATGATTGGTCTGCGCTTCCAAAAGGAGCTGACACTCGTGTCGCAGCAGATTTATCCGCAGCAGAAGCAGGATCTGCAACTTACCAAAATGCAGGAGCGTCTGCTGAAGAAGCTCGGCTCGAATGCCGTCCCCTTCATCATGAATATGCCGCCCAGCTCCCCAGCCTCGGTGGTTCTGCAGCAGAAGGCTAGCGATGAGAGCCAGCCCTGCGGCGTGCAGTACTTCGTGAAGATCTTCACGGGCGACAGCGACTGCGATCGTTCGCATCGTCGCAGCACCATCAATCTGGGCATACGCAAGGTGCAGTATGCGCCCACTCGGCAAGGAATTCAGCCCTGCACCGTAGTGCGCAAGGACTTCCTGCTGTCACCCGGCGAGCTGGAGCTCGAGGTGACACTGGATAAACAGTTATACCATCATGGGGAGAAGATCTCCGTGAACATATGTGTACGTAACAATTCGAACAAGGTTGTGAAGAAGGTCAAGGCCATGGTGCAACAGGGTGTCGATGTGGTCCTGTTCCAAAACGGACAGTTCCGCAACACAATCGCCCATATGGAAACAAGCGAGGGTTGTCCCCTAAATCCGGGATCCAGCTTACAAAAGGTCATGTATTTGGTCCCCACCCTGGTGGCCAATTGTGATCGTGCGGGCATCGCAGTCGAGGGTGATATCAAACGCAAGGAGACGGCTTTGGCGTCCACTACGCTGTGAGTACTGGCAGATCAATGGTGAAATAATTTAATTCATATACTTCTGTACTATGCAGGATTGCCAGCCAGGATGCTCGTGATGCGTTTGGCATAATCGTTTCGTACGCCGTCAAGGTTAAGCTCTTCCTGGGCGCTCTGGGTGGCGAGTTGTGCGCTGAGTTGCCCTTCATACTGATGCATCCTAAGGTATGACTTCATTATTCTAATATTTTCAAGCGAAATAACCTTTTTTCATTATTTCCAACTTTTAGCCCAGCCGCAAGGCTCAATTGGAAACCGAGGGCTCCGTGGATGTTGCTTAGACCACCGTCTTACCTCAATTAAATGCCAAGTGCCTATTTATACTTCTACTTAACCAAATCTAATCCAGAAACTCAATATCATAATAGATAGACTATTTTGCTGATGTTGCTGAATTGTTCTGAACTGCAGTCGTCGTACTTTTCTTATGTATATGTATAAGAAAGAAGTTAAATATTCCTGAATATGTGTGTATGTGTATATAATCTCTATAATATACTCTTATATGCTGATTTATTACTATAATTAGCAATGAATGAAATACATATGAAACACTTTGTGCTAGGCTTCTAAGCCACTGATTAAATGAACTCGTCTTTGGTATTAGGGATTGCCAATTAATAGGTAGCATGTACTTGACACCATTACTGGCATATGTACTTACAGATAAACAATTTGATGCTGTTCCTTCGCACACTCATTAATACGTTTCTAGATTCCCTGGCTTCGCAAGTTCATTATAATTCCCACATATTCTGCAACACGCCCCCACAATCATTGCTAAAGATTATTTGTTCAAGTGCATTTGGGAAATCAACTGTTACATTCATAAGCAACCAAATCAATATGCTACATTTATTTTGTGGCTTCGAAATTTCAACTAATGCACACCCACAATGCGCAGCCAGTAAAGAGGCGAAGCTGAGCGTCGTGGCTGAAATTAATTCATGCTAAAGTCCATAATAATTAATTCCATATGACCTGGAATATTCTGCAAATATAATGCACCAGAACTTGGCAACATCATTGATAAATACATAAGCATATGTACATACTCGTACGAGTGTATATGGCGGTGGCAAAATATAGTAGCAGCCCCGCTACTCGTATTGCTCGCAGCTCTTTTTATAATTGATATAAAAACTGCTTCCGAGGCGAAAAACAAAGTGGCGAAAACAAAACATGTAATATTTTTTAAACTATTCAATAAATATTTTGTAATCTATCTGCTGCTTTACGAATTAAAATTACGTTCAAATGACACTTTAACGAACAAAAATACTATCAAACGATTTGAAAGGACGAGTAAATAAAAAGTTAATAACACTCTTGCGAATAAAGTATGAAAAATGATAAAAAATAAATATTTAAGTTAACTAAATTTTCAATGCTATGAGAGCCTTTTTACACCCTGTGCCCAAAAAGTAAAAGGGTATACTACACATCGAAGGAGATATGGCAGACCCCCAAATGTTTAGCAGCCCTGCGATTGCTCGCAGCTCTTTTTATAACTGATATAAAAACTGCTTCCTAGGTAAAAAACATGCAATGGTTTTTTAACTATACAATAAATATTTTGTAATCCATTTGCTGCTTTGCGAATCAAAATTATGACCAAATGACACTAACGAAAAAAAATATCAATTGATTATAAAGGGCGAATAAATAAAAAGTATATAACACTCTTGCGAATAAAGAATGAAAAACAAATATATAAGTTAACAAAATTTTCAATGATATATGTAAGAGCCTTTGCATTTGGTTTTTTGTACAAGACGTTATAGCCATATATGTTGTTGTTGCTGCTGCTTTGGCTCGGCTCTAGACTGCAAAGAAGTAACATACAGAGAACACATACAAAGAAGGAATCCCGATGTAAATATATGATAATGAACTCTGAAAAAACTAAGAGTTCCGCCACATTTCTTCTCAATGACATTAATTGCCCTTTTAACCTTCAAGTCCATAAGCATCCAAACAAAGCGAGAGGGCATAAACCCTTATTGCTCATAAGATCATTTTTAAGACATACTTACTAAATTCAAATTCCATATAATTATATGTTAGTGTATATTTTATGGCGCTCTAAAACATTAGATTCTTATTTTTAATGGTTCTCATACATTTCCTGCCCTGGCCAACGAATGAGTTATAAAGACACTAAGCTGTACAATATAGATATACGAGAAAATAAATGATACATACAGCCAACTTTTAAAAAAGAGTTGTGTAAATCAGTAATTGGTCTCACACACCCTCACACTCGCCGTTACTTTCGCCACTAGATGGACTGCCGTCCACAGTGATATGCGCCTAGTCCCTGTATTTGACGTATTTCCCATTTTATTTCCACACAATAAATTCCGATTACAATTTTCGGCAATTTAATTAAAAATTCAACATGTTTAACATGCTCCCTCTATTCCTTCTGCGTCAGTACGCGCGCACCACTCATCAACAATCGACAATCAAATTTCCTCAATGCTCTCCTGCGTGGCTGCTTTAGTTAGAAAGCTGGCAAAGAGCAACCAACAGCGCAGTCAATCATCAAGCCAAATTAAACGCACAGAGAGTGAGTGCCACATCATCATCATCATCGTAATCATCATCATCGTAATCATCATCATGGTAATCATCATCATCGTCATCAGCATAATATGGCAATGATGCTCTGCTACTTTTCATTTCACTTTTCCTTTGCAGTTAATGCGTGCTCTTTGGTGTTCCCATTGTTATACACTTGCCACAGCTAATTTTTTGGAAATTCTGTGCACTCCATAAACCATTTTATTGCACAACTGTGCACCAAGTGGCTTGTGGCACTTTCAATTAGCCCAAGATTTATGGCTTGCATCTGGTTGCTCTCCTAACTGATGACTAATTTGGCTGACGCCCACTTATGTCGAGTGCAAAGCACTTAGTCGCCGCTAAGTTTCGCAAAATTTTCGCTATTTAAGTGCGCTTATTGAAAATTGCCCTTGTCAAACATTTAAATGCGATTAGATTAGCCCACCATTATCTGGTAGCGCAATAATTATCGTTTCTTTAAACATCTGGCTGATGTTACGGCACCGAATAAATAAAGGTAATCATGCACTAAAAAGCTTTAAAGGAAAACGATTCTAAGTTTTGAGGTAGGTAAGGTCAAGCAGAAAATGTAGTGCAAAAAGTGTATATATAGAACTATAATTGTCCTACTGACTCACTGAGTGACGGACTGATTAATTTTAATTTAATTCTAAAAGTCTGAACTTTGAAAACTCGACACCAAAAAGGGGAAAATTGTGACAAAATATTTATTTTAAAAAATATATATATTTTGAAAACTTTTAATCTTTTATCATTATTATACCGATCAAGGACATCCGTTCTTTCTAAATTAACTTTCTGGGGAAGCCCACAAAGCAAGTGAAGCGGAAGGCAACCTAAAAGGATCCTCATATGCACGAAATCCAAGAGCCATGGTATTTCATAAATGTAGAGGCTCAATAGGGTTCCTATAATAGATGAACAAATCAGCGAGGCCTTATTGCACATACAAGCTAATCTTACGCTATTAGTTGCCAAGTTCTGCCCCACACTAGAATAGCCAATTTGTCTAGCTGATAACAAATGCACCCAAATAATGTCGAGAATTAATTATGAAGGTCTTTACAGGGGTTTTTGCATAGTAGCAGTGCGGTACGCTATAAAATTTATGAAGTGCCCATAAAATTGTAGATAACCGTGAAATAATTTGAAAAAAAGTCGCCTAACATTCTGCCACTGCTCAACCAAATAGCAGTTAACAGCAAATAATGTGCAGCAGAATTAATCTATAGCCTGATTATCAGACAGTTTTAAAATAAGGTAGTGAGATTATTACTGCCGTCTTTAGTGCTTCGACAGCCGCTTAACGATCAAGATGTGTTGTCGCTGTTGTGGTGTGGCCCAACAAAAGTTTTGGGTATTTGGCTTCGGCGCAATGTTTACTGTCACTGGAATACTGTCCATAGTACTCTGGCCAGGCTTTATAGACGATATGATCACGAAGGTTTGTAGTAAAGACTAGAAATTCCAGCACGATGTTAAAGCCTTACTTCCCTTAAAGTCACTGCCGCTCACACCTACGTCGAAGACCTTTGACAAATGGGAGGTAATGCCCATACCAGTATACGTCTATATGTATCTGTGGAACTGGACCAATGCGAATGACGCGTGGACACCAGGAGTCAAGCCAAACTTTCAGCAGGTTGGACCGTACGTTTATCGTGAAGAGCGAAGAAAGGAGGATCTGGACTGGCATGACAATAATACGGTGACCTTTAACTCTCGTCATACCTGGTTCTGGGAGCCGGAGCTCTCGGGCGGTCTACAAACAGATCTAATAACCGCGCCTCATCTGGTTTCAATTGTAAGTAGGCTAAAGAATAATCCGGATTAATCAAAGCTATAAGATTACACATCGGTTCACAATTCAAGGCCGCAGCCAATACTATGCGTGACAGTCCGAAGCTATTGAAATTGATGTTTAACAATGAATTGAACAGCAATGGTGGCAATCTTTTTGTCACTCATACAGCTGGCGAGTGGCTCTTCGATGGATTCTATGATGAGTTCCTGCATTATGCCATGGAACTTAATAATCCTCTGGCGCCTAAGGTGGAAACGGATCAGTTTGCCTGGTTTCTGAATCGCAACGGATCCAAGGACTTTGAAGGTGCTTTCACCATACACACAGGCGTGGGCGACATAACGAAAATGGGTGAAATCCAATTTTGGAAAGGAATAAACCATACGGGCTGGTATGAAGGCGAGTGCGGCCGTCTAAATGGCAGCACATCCGATTTGTTTGTGCCCGGCGAGCCGCTGGAGAAACCACTCACCATATTCATAACAGACACGTGTCGCATCATTAATTTGGAATTCACAGGACAGAGCGTGGAGATCGAGGGTATCAAGGGGTGGAAATATGAGGCCACAGCCAACACCTATGACAATGGACAGCTGAATGCGGACATGAAATGCTACTGTCCTGTTGAGCGACAGCCAGACAACTGTCCCGCCACGGGTGCCACCGACCTAACTCCCTGTGCCGATGGTGCTCCCATGTATATGTCGGCCCCACATTTCATGAACTCTGATCCCAGCTATGCCGCAACCATCACTGGCTTTGAACCAAGCTATGAGCGTGACAACTTCTTCATCATTATGGAGAGGAAATTAGGTGTGCCGTTGCAGGTCAACGCTGCTGTTATGATAAGTTTGTTCATAGAAAAGGATGACGATATAACGTAAGTGCAAAAGACAACATTACTAAATGCTTCAACTAAGCCGATTCCCATAGCATATTGAAGAACGTTCCCGAATTTTATGCTCCACTTTTCACCACAGCCAGTCGAGCTGTCATCAACAAGGAACTCGCTGCTGAAGTGAAGGTAATATTGCAAAATAATGCTTGGGCTCTCAAATAATCAAACATTTTTGCAGCTGGCACTAAATCTGGGCAGCATAGGAGTATATACGGGCATTGGTTTCCTATGTTTGGGGCTTACAATCATTTCAGTCGGTATTGTGCTCACCATACATCGAAAATGGCGCGGACAGACAGCAGCAGACAAGGTGTAAGGAATGGCAGATGTTTAAAAAGCTACTGAAGAGGCAATACGAGCATAAAAGAAGCAAACAATACATACAAGTATGGCATTTGGAAAATGTTGTGAAAAATATACAGCCACGCTGTGATAGAAATCATTGTAACAATTTTTGTTCAACTAAATAAAATGCATTTAATTAAATATGGAAGTCATGGTTAAATGAATGCTTAGAATTTCCAAGGAATTAAAAGTAGGGATAATTTAATGCCAACGTAATATTTACAAAAGCAGGTGTAGCAGGATAACAACGTACGCAGCACCTCTGGCAAAAGGCGGTGATTGAGAGCTTTGATATAAAAGCACAAACATATCATTCCATAAACGGAGCACAATATAAGTATTTCTTATAGATTCAATTTTGAACTTGTTTTTAATAGAGACAAGTTATAATAATAAAATTGGCTTCATTTATTTTCAATAAAATACTTTTCACTAAAGACACAAGAAATAATTTCTGTATTTGTTGCTAAGATCTTACTATAAGAAATAATAATTAGTATAACTAATTAGACAAATTGGCCCTTAAATTATACATTCAATTTGGCCCGACTCATCGTTTTTTGGACTTCATGGATTAATGTGCCTTTTAGTTAATGAATAAATAATTTCAAAATTTGGAATACCTTTTTTTCCATTCTTTGCAATTTTTTCTATCCATCTTGCATTCATCTTGCATCATCATCTTCATCATCTTATGAATTGTAACATTTTATATATACTCGTATGTAATGAAGGGACCTTCTTATTTTCTTTGATTTGGATGCACTCCGATCAATTTGTTTGCTAAAGCATGAATTGTTTATATCATCTTAATTTTTGCTATATTTTACGAGGAAAACGTTTTTGCAGAACTTCAGTAAATTGGCTTATTTAGATCACTCACTTGTCACTAATCAACAAAAAGAATTGCATATTAAACTATTTTTCCAATATCTTAATATTTTCTAAAATAGGCCCAAGGCTTTTAAGTATAGCTAGCGACTTTTTGGTTCTCAAAGATTGTTATTGACCTTCCTCAACACAAGCATTATATTGAATATTTCAGAACATATTTCAACCGTTTAGCTGTCAAATAATATAATTTTTATGAACAACCCACACTTCACTCCACTCTGCAAATATTTTACAGACTTGTTCAGCATTAGACAAAGGCAAAACTGTATAGCAACGAATGCGATTAAGTGATTGTCTCGAACGTGGCTAATAAAAATAGCCAAGTGCATACAAATCTAATCACTGCGACTAAAAAAAAAAACCCAGAATACTATAAGTATATAATTGGAAAATTTTGCAATTAATAACGCAGTTGCGCTTGTAAGCCGTAGCCGTGCGACTTAAAATGTGCTGCAATTGTTGTAGTGTGCGCCAGCAAAGGATTTGGGTCTTTGGCATAGGCAGCTTTCTATTTGTGCTCGGCATCGTTCTACTTACAGCCTGGCCGAGTCTCTCACAGAAATGGATTCGTAGCATGTTGCCTTTAGCACCCGAATCCTTCATCTACAAACGCTGGGTGACAACGCCTACGCCCGTATACACAACATTTTATCTATTCAATTGGACAAATCCTCAGGATATTAATAACGAAGAGGTAAAACCGAACTTTGAGCAATTGGGGCCGTACACCTTCAGCGACTTCAAGGTAAAGGAAGGCTTGATGTGGCACCAACAGCGACCCGAAGTCACCTACTACGGTCGACGTACGTGGCATTTTTTACCGGAGCGTTCGAAGGGTCAGCTAGATGATATTGTTGTGACCCCGCATTTTCCCACAGTGGTTAGTATAATGAATGGCAGCAAACTTTTAAGCATATAGTAGACTGATTTCGATATTCTCAGACAGCTGCTGGCTATGCACGCAAATATCGCAAGATCCTGCGCAAGATCATGAACTATGCGCTAAATCGTGAGGGCGGAGCCTATTTATTTCGCCACACAGCGGCCGAATGGATGTTCGATGGCTTCTACGATAGTCTTATAGATTTTGCGGAACGACTGCACTCTCCACTAGTGCCCATCTACAGTGATCATTTTGCCTGGCTCTATCAGCGCAATAACTCCAAAAACGCCGAGGGAAACTTCACCATTCACACGGGTCGTGGCGATCTCAGGCAAATGGGTGATCTGAAAATGTGGAACGGGACCACACACACCGGCCTATATGCTGGGGAATGTGGGAAGGTGAATGGCAGCACAGGCGAGTTGTGGGCGCCAGATCGGCAATGGCATGAAACCCTCTCTATATTTATACCAGATGTGGCGCGTTTTATAAACATGTATAGCAGAAAGAATGTGAGTGTGGAGGGCATAGATGCGTGGCGCTACGAAACAACCGAACTTAGCTTCGACAATGGCCAATTGGCGCCAGACACAGAATGCTTTTGCGTGCCCAATCGTGAGTGCCCCAAAAATGGTGTGGTCGACTTTTCACCGGTGAGTTATCACGGTCCCTTCTATCTGTCCCATCCACACTTTTATATGACGGATGAAATGTATCGAGAGAACATAACAGGCCTACAACCAGATGCCGAGAAACATGGCATGTATTTAATAATGGAACCCACTCTCGGTATACCCTTAAGATTGAATGGGCAAATGATGATTAGTGTGAGAGTGCAACGCGATGAAGCTATCGAGTAAGTAACCATGCAATGTTAACAACATTACATTAACATTATATGTCCAGCTACCTGAAAGATGTAGCATACGATCACTATGCACCATTACTTGTGCTGCAAATGCAGGCTGAGCTGAACGACGAACTTATCAGTCTGATAAAAGTAAGTGTAAGCTTTCATGCAAACCTTAGAAACGTCATGTTCTTATATTTATTTTACAGCTCACTTTAAGTATACCCCATATAGGGCAATATGTTGGCATAGCTTTTCTAATCATAGGCCTGACCATGCTAACTGTGGGCGTGGTGCTCAACAAAAAGCACAAATGGCACAACGAAGTGCCACCCAAGACCGTTGATAAAACAAACAAGCCCAATGCGGACTGATGTTGATATGGCGCCTTTGTTTTGCCGATAAGACTGTTATTTATAACAATAAGATTTAAGCATTAAAGTGCGAAATTCATAGCCTAGTACTCATACTTGTACTCTTCAAAATGCTGATGGCGTGCTGCTCAAATTTCCAATTTCCTTTGGGTGTTGCATGCACACACAATGAACCGCACCTGCGACCAGGCTAAGCAGCTGCTAAAATTACACAAAATTATGGCCTTTCAAATATGCTAAATTTATTAATATGTTAATAATTGTTTTTTGTATCGTATACCTATACGAGTATGTGGCGAGGCCAAGTGAAGCCTTGAGCACGTTAGTTGCATACTTTATGGGGTACGAACTCTTTCACCAAGCACGGAACAAAAATACCAGCAGCGTTCAGACGGCAACTGCAAATTCAAAAAATGCCAACAGAATATTATAGGCGGCTAATTTATATGCGGCTGGCACGCAAACTCACGTTTTGCACACACATTGTCGGCTAACACAGAGAGATAAGGTGGTGGTGGGGGGAATATGTTGTATGAAAATTATATGGGTGCAAGAATTTTTTGGTCATAACTTTAACAAATATGTAATGATTGAGTGGTAAACTGGGAAATGCCATAGCATTATTGCAGAACGAATGGATATAAAACAAAGAGGAATTTGATAATTCAAACGAAACTAACAATAATAACAACTCCCAATCAAAATTCCCAAAATGTGAAATATTTAAAGTTGAACAAAATTTAGCCTTTTAGGCACAGGTTTTGTTGGGGACTAGGCTCGGTTATTTTGTTATTATTATACTTAAACCCGAAAATGATTGAGCGGATGGACAAACAAAATTTAATATATTCGTACTATGTACTTATGTTTGCATATATTACATTTAGTCATATCCTACTAAGTACTTGTATATAAAATTTAACAATAATCTGGTATCTATTTCATTTTCTAAAGCCAGCCAAATTATTTATTTATTGCTTCCATTAAACTGATGGTTTATTTGTAGGAAGGAATATTTGTTACTTTCGATATGGGATGCACTTTTACATTCATTATACTAGTACTAAAAACTGTGCATTTAGTTGATTGCTTGTCTTTTCCATTAATTACATAAATGTAAGTTTGAAACTCTTCCGCTTAACTAAATAATATTAATTACAAGTTAGTATAAAATTATTCTAAATGCATTGTAAATAAATGTTTACAGCTATAATACTTTAAAAAATCAATTAAATTTTTTCGTATACTCGTACTCACACCAAAATATGAAAAACAAAAACCAAGTTATCTGAACTTTCCCTTTTTATTTTGAGTATGTGATTCATAGTTCTATATTGAATTGCGTTAGTTTACTTACGATCATATGGTTTTAAGCTATTCTTGTCGATACTGCAGATCATGACTTCTGTAATTAAAATTTTGCATATCACTCCATTTCGTGTTCTTTGTTCTAATTATAACGAACCCTAGCATATAATCTCGTCTAATCAATCCCCTAGTAATTTAAGCAGAAACATCTCCTTACATTTAACTAACCAGCATTAAATAAACATGCACTAATGCATAACTAATCACTCGCTGTGAGTCGGGGCACAGATTAAAGATTCGACTCAAGATTAATTTTGTATTGCTACATTTCTTTAAGTTTAAATTCTTCTCTTTTATGTCATAAGATTTTTTATTTGTTTTATAAAATGATAGTTTTATTTGCTAATGATTTTTATATCGAGCTTATTATTTCATGCTAATGAATGCCATTCTAAGACCTGTCCAGTTCTAATCTTGCTATATTTTTTCATACAATGTTTTAGGGCGTCGACTTATCACACTTTACAATAAAACGTTATTTACTTAAAAAGCATAGAAGGGGGAAAAAATAAACAAAATATATTTATATCTTATTCAGCTCGTTGGGGGCATCGTGAAATCCCTTCAAAGATTCCACCGAAGATAGCTAAAAAGTTGGAAGAGGGAAGACAGATAGTTTGATTTCTGCATGACTCTAATAAGCTTTAGCTAATTGTAGAAGGCAATAATATTCATGTTTTTAAAACTCTCCAGAAAAAAGTGAAGCAAGGCCAACCTTTTGGTCATTTTGGGTAGACGGCTTTTAAAAATAGCAACAACTCATTGCCTGTTGAGACGCAGGTTGTTAAGGCACGCAGCACGACTGACATTTTTCTGTCTGTTTTTTCTTTATTTTCTCTTTTTGGGCACTGGATCTGTGGTTTTGCATGAAAAATGCGCGCTATTTACAAGCAACAGATCGGCCAACTCGACTTCATTATAGCGCCAGCATTCCAACATTCAAAAAAGAGCAAAAAAAAAAAAGCAAAAAATAAGAAGAAACGGTTGTATAGTAAATACATACGGGGCTATAAATGTGTTTATAAGTATGTGTTGCTGTATGTGAATGGTTTGTTGGCTCTTTCATAAGCTGGACCAAATTGTTTTTGCTGGCGTTGCTGTTGTTGTTGTTGTTTTTGTCGCTTCGACTGTTGTCCATTTTAGGTTGCGCGGTCATCATCAACGAGCGAAGCGCGCAAAACATTGGTGTCCTAATCTGCTGCCTGACTTGCATACTAATTTGTTTGTATTACCACAATACCACCTCCCCCCTCCCCCCCTCTCTCCAGCCTTTCTCTTCCATCAGTTTTGGTGGACAGTTTGCTTCTTTGGCTTTGCCGCCGCCTTTATGGTCGCCTCGTCCATTCGTTTGTTCCCTCAGTTTGTTGACAACCCGTAGATTATGTTGTTGGCTTTGGCTTTTGTGTGTTTAAGTATAAGTAAAAGCACGAGCATTGTTGTGTGTATCTGTGGATGTGTGTGTGTGTGTGTGTGTGTGTGTGTGTGTGTGTGTGTGTGTGTGTGTGTAGGAGAGTATATTGGCCGACTGCTCGAGTGTCATGTTGTCTCGGCTTATGCATTCCACACGGGTACATTCCTTGCCATCCATTCGTTGGTTTGTTAGTTTGCTTAGCTGCTTAATTTTTCCTTTGTTATGTCGACAGCCTTTCAGGGTCTGCCTTTTGGTTCATTTTTCGCACAATTTAATGTTATTTAATTGGCATTTAAGTTTATGAAAATGCTTGTGTTTGTGTTACAGCCACTCCTCAGTGATAATAATTGCCCCCGTCGGCTCTACCGAGGTCAGTTTTTATCTGTGGACTCGCGCGTGCTTCAGCCCCAGCTTCAGATTTGGCGTATGTGTAGGTGAGTGTGTATAAGTGGGTTTCATTTGGCAGCAGCAGCAGCAGCATGTCCTTGACCTTTTTCCATCGACAGCATTTTCGAGAGCTTAAGCCTATAGATTTAATGCGTTTGAGTTTTTAATGCGGCCATCACGTGGCAGGCACATATTAAAGCAGCACGCCTTAAGCTTTGGGTAATCTTTTGGACGCTGCTTTAAGGCCGATCTTATTGCAATTAATTTTTATTGCAGCACTGTAACAAAAATTCCGACCACAACGTGACACATTTAAACAACTTATTTGCTTATCAGCAGTTTCTTTTTTTTAGTTTTTGAAAATGTATCCTGTGCATTTACACAGCAATTTTCTATGCATTGTTTGGCTTCTCTTTCTATTTGGGCTCTCAAATTGCATTGGGGCCTTCGGCGCCTAGCGTCCACATGCAACGGCGGCAACGTTACAAAGTTGACAGCTGCCACAAAAAAAAGAGAAGAAGAACACAAACATACGACCCGTTGTACAAATAAAAGCATAACAATAGCAACAACAATAAGCACGGCGGCATATTGTTGGCCAAATTTAAAAATTCAATTTCAAAAGCAGCGTATAACAAATATTTGTATCCCCCTCGCACTTTCATTTGTGTATAGTGAATACTTTTTGGGTCTCAAATTGGTTATGGCAGCATGGCGCGTGTGGCAGGCAACAATTTATACTGCCCGAACATTTTCTAACATTTTTAGTGTAAACAATTTTCTCTCTACGACAAGTCAGAGTTCTCTTTCAGTAGAACATTTTTTAAAAATAAATATAAGTTTCTTTAGCTATTATCAGTTATAGTTGTTTCATCCTATATCTACTTGTATGTACATAAGTATGTCAATTGTTGAGCAACCCGATGTCCGTTCTCTATTTTTATCATCTGTGGGCAATTATCTTTGATTTTGGATTGAACTTATATTATATTTAAAACCAGACATAATAATTCACATCGACTGTGATCATTTCTATCAGTTCGGAATATAATACCATTTACTTCCTTCAATTACAGCTTACAAACTACTAAATTATTTAAATATTTGTAAGTATTTAACGAAAAGGGAAAAAGTAGATAAACGCGAATGTGCAAGAGGAGATGGGAAACAGAGATCTTCGAAAGTGGCGAAGGAGACAGTAGTGGCATATATAAGGTTATGCGGGGCTTACATAGAATAGGCCTAAACACTATTCTTGGGCGTAGAACCTTTGCCCTGTGACTGTGAAATGTATAAGGAAGGAGAATGGACAAAACAACAACGAAGTAAACAAAGCCTAAACAGGACCAAGCCAATAATAGAGACTGAATAGCTAAGCAGGTACATTAAAGACAGGAAAGTTCTGGCTTAGTGAAGGGAACTCTTGGCGGCGTATTTAAGCGCGGAGTATCTCAGCATTCATGAGTCGACGGTTGTTAGTGTTTCCGTTAGAAAAGAAAAAAGTCTCTTTGGCAAAGATTGCACTCTAGGCTTAAATGGAGGTCGCTAAAACAATCCAGCTCCACTTAATATTCAATTGGACTTAAGGAACATCAATCGGTTAATAGAGTCAAAAATTTGTTCCATTTTATCAAAATTCGCGGTCAATTGAGTTCCATTGCTGCTTTATTTTAAAGTAAAACTTAAAAAAAATATATTTGAATGAAATACTTGATTAATGGAATGCTTAATTGTAAGCCAAAAAAATTTCGAAAACTGCCGGAAATTTAAAAAATTCGTTGCAGTCCTGCTTTTTGGGGTAAAGCTGCAGGTTCGACATTTTCAATTTTTATAC